ATCTATGCTTCGCTTAAACGACTATTTAATTGCTTACGTATTTTCCTATCATCCCTCTTAACAATTCAACTCTGTATGACGTCTATAATCCTTACTTTTCCTAATTGCAATTTTGTGATGGGTTTCTTAGGTGATGTGGGTTCAAACTTAAATTCTCAGTATTTCTTCTAAACGGCATTTCCAGATTTCACTAGTAACTTATTGGTTCCCTACTTTGATTAACTTATTTCTAACTCCTCCTTACCCTTTTTACACTATCATTTCAAAAAATAAAGTTAGTTCTGATCAAGTCTTCGTTTCACCGAGCGGCATGGCTTAGAGGTTTAGACCATTGCTTAGCATTCGGAAGGACGCCGGTTTGATTCCGGGTCCGTCTGCCTTGGTCCAAGTTTTTCTGTGGTTTCCTTGGATCATTTAGGCAAATGCTGAGGCAGTAATATTCCACAGATACTCTTTCATTCTCTTCTGTCTTCATTTCATCAGTCTCATCTTTCTCACCCGAACCTCCAGCCACCCATTCCCGATTGCTGAAAGCAGGCTGAAGAGGGCCTTCCTCCCTACCTTCAGCATTACTGGCTGGTGGGAATGAAACACGCAAAAGTTTTTTTTTTAGTCTTCGTCTCATGAAAATTATAACTACGCTCCAGTTTCATATTTTATTTCTAGTCTTAATTTCTTCTGTTTGTGCATTAAATAGTTCACCGTTTTCGCCTTATTTTTATTTCTTCGTCCTATGACCAGAACAAATCGAGTCTTTGTAATACTTGAATAAGTTTTCCATATGCGAACCTTAGATACCCGTATTGAAAATAAGATATGAGTGGGTTGGCGATGTTAAAATAGATTTAAAAATCAATAGTGGGACAACGCATATTGGTATCAAGATATCGTCGTCGATGCAGAATATGCTGTTAACAATTATTATTTAGATAATGCAGTGGCAACTGTAATTAAGCCCGTCTTGAGCAAAACAGTTTCTAGTTAACGATAAGAGAACTGCTAAGTGCACAAAATTAACGAAATGTAAATGAGTACTTATGCCGAAACTGAAATCGCTCCGGGCACAAAGCAAGCAAAGCTCCCGTCGCACTCTCCCTCGTTAATACGCTCCCATTCCATATTGAACTGGTAGGTACCTATTCTGTTTTCAAATTCCGTAGCCAAGTTAAATAAGCAATTTCAAATGTAAAGGGGAGTCGAATTCGGAGCACTTAAGCCATCTTGACTCATCTTCATTGCGAATAGTCGATTAATATCGAAGCGATTGCATTAGAATTCAGAAACGGTCCGCCGATTGTAGCTAGTATTCCTATCTACAATCTACACACTAAACCTAAAGCTCACTCAGACTGACTTCCGCTATCTCATAATAATAACTCGTACCACTGCTACCGGGTGCTTTTTATTTTACCAAATAGAAACACATAACAATGCAGCAGGAGTTCCTTCAACTACAATACCTATAATTGCTTAGGGAACTAGTTTAATACGTTTAGTAAAATTTCTCTAAAGTTAGCGTAAGTTTAAAAGGAGAGAATAAAACTAGCCAAGTGTGAGTTGGTGCTGGTTTCGCACAACTCTAATTTACCTTTGCTTGTTATTTGCTCTCTAACAACGGAACATAAATAACAGATTCGAAAAAATATTTTCAAATTTTGCCAATTAGCAGTACTTCTGTTGTATTTTGTTGTTCATATACTGCTTGGTATTTGTTAGATTGGTTTAAGTGTGATTAAAGATGTTTGTGTTACAGCATAGGTATTTGTTCTTTTAATGTTTTAATCTTGCATTTAGTTAATCGATGTGTAGTTGAATACACTAATTCAGCAATACAATATCAATCATTGAAGTAAGTCAGTATGTCACTATAGAACAGGCTGCATCTTTTGAAGATTTCACTTTCTCGAGGAAAAACTAAACAAAAAAAAATTCAAGAACACGAGCAACTCAGTACACATGAAAGAAGTGAAACTTCTCTATACCTTTATAACGAATTAGTAATGATTGGTGAATGAAATAGAAAGTACGAGAATTTTCAGGATTTATGTTTTCCAACATATTTTATCTTTAGTCCACCTAAGGAGTAGACGCTATCTCAGAAAC